GAGTCCTAAGCTGTATGCTTAACCGACCGGGCCAACCCAGGCGCCCCCCAAACTGTGCATGTTCTATTGTTATGCACCTAAAAGCTGAATTGTAGAGAGAAACTTAAAGTTCAAAAACAAAATTATAGAGATGCCTGGGAGGCTCAGTCAGTTAAGTGTCTGCCTTTGCCTCAGGTCATGATCCTTGCTCAATGAGGACTCTGTTTCTCTCTGCCAGCCACTCCCCTTGCTTGTGCATGCTCTCTCTCTGGCAAATAAATGAATAAAATCTTTTTAAAAAAATAATAAAGTTAGAATTGTAAAAAAAAAAAATTGAAAGGCTTCTAATTATTAATATAAACTCTACCTGCTGTAGCCTACAGTACAGATGTCAAGAAGACAAGTTCTTAGAAGGCCAGCACTGTTTGCCTGACATTGCGTAGCACAGTTCCAGACATGGGGATACATGTAAATGACTAGCCTTGGGCTTAGCGCCGGGTTGTCTGGTCTGTGTGTTCCTGGACAACACTGAAGCCTGACAGTGGTGAGAGGGAAGTTAAATCATGCGGAAGGTCACAACTGGATCCTATTCAAACGAATAAAGTACTTATGCCAAGTATTCTTTGGGGTATTGTTGGCCATCATCTTTGACCTCAAGCAATTTGTAATCTCATTGGGAAATGAGGCCCATGCATGAAGAGTAATCATCACAGCAGACTCCAAAGGAGAAGGTGGAATTTGGGGAAAAGATAAAATTGGGGAAAGAATTCAGAGATCAGGTGCCTGGTATGGAAGCCCAGAGGGTGTTCAGGGAGCAGTGGGCGCTGACACTGACTTGTCCAGCCTTATCTCCAGCCAGTGCCTTCCCCACGTTCCATGGCGCCGGCCTTTGCTCCCCTGCATCTTCTCACAGGATGTGAGAAGAAACCTCGCTCAAGTTCACTCCTCTTCACCAAGCCTTTCCTCCTTGCACCGGTCCTTCGACCTGGAGTGCTACTTCCACCCGTCAACCTGGGTAACTCCTCCTCTTTGCTCGTGTCCTTCTTTAAATTCTTTCTCCTTTTCCTAGCCTTCCACCCCCTAACCCATGGTATTAAAGGTAGAGGCCGCTGTTAGGCAACAGGCTTGAGCAGCGGAAGGCAGAAAGGGCCCCAGTGAGCACCCGGCTGAATACAGACACACCCCTCAGACGACCCTCTTCAAAATAGCCTCAAGACACCCGGAGGCTTGGGGCGCCTGGGTGGCTCAGTGGCTTGAGCCTCTGCCTTCCGCTCAGGTCATGATCCCAGGGTCCTGGGATCGAGCCCCGAATCAGGCTCTCTGCTCCACGGGGAGCCTGCTTCCTCCTCTCTCTCTGCCTGCCTCTCTGCCTACTTGTGATCTCTGTCTGTCAAATAAATAAATAAAATCTTTAAAACAAAACAAAACACCCGGAGGCCCTAACTGACCAATGGGCTACTTACAACTCGGCCTGGCTCCCCAAAAAAGGAAGAGTTCATACATCCCTGTACCTCCTCAGCTTTCCTCTTTAAAAACGAATCCCACCCACTGCCTCAGTCTCTCCTCTGCTGTCCCGCCCACCACTCCAAAAACTTCTATCTCCCTGGTTCCACCTCAGGTGAATTCTCTCACCTCCTGCTCATCTGATGGAGAGACTGGAGCAACACCACATTTAGTCAAGCAGTGATACATCTATCACCCAGACTGTAAGCTCCTTGAGCGAAATCTTGTTTCTTCCATCTCTAGATTCTCATCACCTGGCATAGTGTGCAAAGGGCACTAGGCTCTAGAAACGCTTTTTGAGCCAAATTATTGCACCGTGAGTGGTGTCTTTTGGCTAGCTCTGGATTAAAACATAAAGTTAAGGAGAAACAGGCCTGAAAGACCTGCTTTCCTTTCTGCCCTTACCTCTGGGCTGAACCCCCAAAATTCATGTTCCAACCTCCAGTACCTCAGAATGTTACTGCATTTGGAGAGAAGGTCCAGTTAAATTAAGTTAAAATAAGGCCATTACGGTGAGGCCCTAATCTCTTACAAGAAGAGAAAAAAACATCAGGGGTTCTGCATACACAGAGGGACAACCCTGTAAGGACAAAGCAGCAAGAAGACAGCCACCTAGAAGACCAGGAGAAAGGCCTCATAGGAAACCAACTCTGGCACCACCTTGATCTTGGACTTCCAGTCTCCAGAATTGTGAGAAAATAAATTTCCTTTGTTTAAGCCACCTAGTCTATGCAATTTTGTTACGACAGCCCTGGCAAATTGAGACAGCATCTTTACTTCATGAATAAGTTCAGACGCAGTGCCATATGCCAGGCACTCTTCTAAGTTCTTGACGGATGTTTAAACATTTAAACACCTTTCCACCTGTGCCAGTGAATCACCAGTGAATTCGCAAGGGGCAGGAGGGAAAAGCGTACACCCCCTTCTCTGGTGGGAGCTGGGGATTCAAAATCAATATGGTAGGGGGAAACACCCAAAGAGGTATGTCAGGTGAGAATCACCGGTGGTGATGATGGAGATTAAAATTAATAGCAATAGGAAAATAACAACTACCAGTAACTGAGCACTGGGTTCAGAAAAGGTAAGCTACTTGCCCAGCTGTTAAGGATAATTAGAATTCAGACCCGATCTTTGTCCTTTTCCACTTGGCATACTGCCTGGAGAAACAGGCTGGGATCACTTGGCTAGGGGAGGAGGTCAGGGGAGGAGGTGGGGGAAAGGATTGAGCAGGAGACCCACTGAGCTTGTTCTCAATGCAGGAGATCAGTGGGGAGCAGGAAGGGTAAAAAAAAAAAAATTAGAAGAAAAGGAAGTAGGGAAAACCTAAGGACCTTCATTGCCTGTGCAAACCAATAGTTCTTTTATTTAACTCCTACAGCATACCAGGCATTAAGCTTGAAACTCACGACTGGCTCTGAGGGAACAGAAGGCTGGCTGAGGACAAAGCAAGAGGCTGACACCCAGCAACCTTCCCCCACCCCCACTCCTGGGTAGGACATGTGACATTCTTTAGGAATCTCCCAACTATCTTAATAGCTTGCTAAAAAGGGCAAAACGACCTTGGCAAAGGCAAGGCCTCTGGTATCTGGTATCTTGTAGGTCCTCTTTAGCATATGAAAGTTCTACTGAAACCTCCCTTTTCCTTCCCCCACCCCATGGTACATAACCTGCCACCCCTCACAACCCCCGGGCAGCAGCTCTTCCTGCCCATGAGTCTTGCCCCCATGCTTTAATAAACCACCATTCTGCACCAAAGAGGTCTCAAGAATTCTTTCTTGGTCATCGGCTCCAGACCTCACCCCACCGGACCTCACCTATGTTCTAGAACTTCATCAGCTCCACGAGACAGGTATTTCTTCTACTCTCATTTTATGGACATGGAAACTGGAGCTCAGAGAAGCTGAGAGACCTGCCTAAAGTTCAAGTTAAGTGGCAGAACCGGAGTAGCAGACCTGGGAGGCTCCCCCTCCTGCAACTGCCCAGGTCCTCGCCCAGTTCCTCCATCCCTCTTCAGCAGGCAGGTCTACAACTTCTGCACTCATGTGGCACATATGGCCAGTGAAGGGAGAAGGGCCTCCGGGCTGTGAGTGGACAAGTTACATGTCCCATCGTGGCCTTTACAAGATGCAGTATTAACACAAGAGCAGCAGCTGACCAAGGAGGTTCCAAGGAGCCTTTGTTTCCCAGGATGTGCCATGGAAAAAGTTCTCTGCTTAGGAAAGCTTTGTGGAAGTGCTGCCTGTTATCCCTTCTCCTGTCTTGGAGACTTACAGGGCACACTGGCAGATTCTAAAGGTTCCGGGGTTAAAACAACAACAACAACTTTCCTTAACTGAAGCTAAGGTCTCCCCAATCTATTTGAACCCCAGGCTTCACACAGTGCCCTTTCAGAGATTCTGCAACACAGGACTTAGGAGGCAGAAAGATAAGCAGGATAAAGATAAAGGTACTTTTGGAAACATTAACCAAAATGCAGGCTTTTTCCTGAAGAATGACAAAGTCCATTGATATTTACCTTTAGTTTGCTTTCTACTGAGAGAATAAACAGTTAAAATCAGAGGCAATAAAGCAGACAAGGGAATTTGAGATTTGCATTCTCCAATCTATTGGCTCTACGCCTGGTTTCCGCCCCAGCCCTATTCCATTCTCCATATTTTCCACCCACCCTCCCCTCTTTGGGGCTGCTCTCCAGCTACATACACCTGGAAGTGACCACCACTTGGACTGCTCCGTGTCCCCCATCCCCAGCCCTATGGTACAGAAGCAGTGACAGGGAGGCATTAGGCCCTCCGCCCACAGTGCAGCCAGAGCTGGGATTCAGAGAAACAATGGAGTGATCTCAAGTAACAATCGCTCTGCCTTTAGCTACTGCTAAAGACATTCCTTTGGCCGGAGTGGGGGGTCAGGGGGTGCTGAGTTGGTCAACATGTCCTTCAAAATTTCGGGAGTGCTGTGATTTTTTTCTATTTTCTCTTTTTGCTTATTTTCCATTTCTAATTTTCTACAATGAATATGCAGCACTAGCGTTACAAAGGAGGAGGTGGGGAAGGAGCAGCGAGGAAAGGGGGAGAGAGGAGAGCACAAGGAGAAGGGGGGGAGGGAAGGGGGAGAAAGAAGGGAACTGAGGGAAGGAGGGATGGGAACCAGAGAGGAGGACTGAGAGGGGGAAATTGGAGAGATGGGGGGGGCGGAAGGTGGAGAGGACTTGGGGGGAAGGAGGAGGACAGAGGGGAGAGAGGCTGACGGGCGAAGATGAAGGGAGGTAACAGGAGAAGGAAGAAGGAGGAGGAGGGAGAGAGGAAAGAGGGAGGAGGAGGAGGGAGGAAAGGGGGGGAATAAATCCTAAAATCTCCGGAAAAGACTGCCTAAACTCACCTAATAAAATACCCCAGTGTCCCGCAGCGCCTACAGGTCCAAGTCCCGACCCGCAAGGTTCCCATTTGCCACAACCCTTTCCCCGGCGCCCCTTAACCAGAGCAGCGCTCAGACAATGGGGCGCGGCGGCGCCTTCTCCTTACCCACTCGGAAGATCAGATCGTCTTCGATGGGATTCTCTTTTCGCTTCCCAGTGCTGTACATGCTGGCGGGTCTCTTCACCGCTTTCTGCTTTACATGGCCGCTCCCCGGGGATTTCACGCGCCTCTTCACGCCCTCGGTGGTGGGAGACACGTCGGCCGACCGGATCACTTTCAGCTTGAACGGGCTGCCTCGGATGTGCTGGTCATAGAGCCGCAGCGACAGGGTGAAGTCGCCTTCCTTCTGGACAGTGTACAAAAACTCGTAAGTGCCGTTCTTGTTGTCGAGGATCTCCCCGTCCGCCACGCTGCCGTCGGGCGTGCTCAGCTCGGCGGTGATGTAGGCGTTGCCCGTCTTGCACAGCTCGCCGTCTTTGTCCTTCGTCGTTATGGTAACGGACATGGGCTGCCCGATGATGGTCTGCCGCAGCCCCTCGCCCGTGGCCACAGTCTCGGAGGCGACGGCGTTGGTGGTTAAAATCGTCCCGAGGTTGTGGATGGACTTCTTGAGCCCCTCGGTCTCCACGATAAAATCCAGCTGATCGTTTTCACGCGGGTGCAGCGGGAAGTCCTGGTCGGCCAGTTCGTTCAGCTTCTCGCTCATCTGCTTCTTCACGAGCAGCACCTCCGTCTCCGTGCCATGGTTGAGGGCCTGCGCCGTGAAGTTGCTGCAGCTCTTTATACTTTCCTGCCCCTCGAGCAGAGTATCCAGCTGCGACTGAAGGACCTGCGGGGGTGGGGGTGGGGGGTTGGGGGGAAGCGAGGTCGGGTGAGCGCTCCCCTCGGTGCACGAGCTCAGCCCATCGAACGCTGAGCGCCGGCGCGCGGGGGCACCGCCCTCCGCGGGCCGCCACCGGGTCCTGCACCTGCCCACGCCGCTGGCTCTCCCGGGGGGAGTGGGGGTGGGGGGGTACTTAATCCCGCCCAGCGAACCCGCTTCTAAAGCCTGATTCTGAATTGCGTTCCCGGTACCACCTCTTTCCTTTCCTCCTCGCCCAGACTCTCCCACACACATATTTCTTGGGTCATGTGTTTTTGATGGGGCGAGCGGAAACGTCACCACTAGGAGCCGGGAAAACAAATTGCTATGCCCGGCATCCGAAATATTCATTATTCATTATCTCTCCGTAAAGTCCCCAAATCCCCTGTTGCCACCTAAAGGAACAGAAACCAGACTAATGAAAACCCTCCACACCCTAATAGCAGAAGCTTTTGATCCCTGGCTTTGTGATTGGACATGTTAAAGGCCGCAGTCAGGGTTCTCTTGGAAGTTGACTAACAGGTTGGTGTGCATGAGAGAGCAATTAAGAGACTATTAGACGTTATAATCAAGGAAGGAAAATAATCCAGCTTAAACCTAAATCCTGAAAATATGACTTTATATTCAGTCTTGTGTCAAATTATAAATTGGACCTTATGGTTACAGAATCATAGAACTTTGCTGAAAAGAGGAAGGAAAAAATAGCTGGATGTGCCATTAAATGAAAACTACTGTTGGAGCACCCGGGTGGCTCAGTTGTTTAAGTATCTGCCTTCAGCTGGGGTCATGATCCTGGGATCCCAGGACCAAGCTGGCATCAGGCTCCCTGCTCAACACAGAGCCTGCTTCTCCTTCTCTCCTTCTCTCTCTGTCCCTCCCCTGCTCTACTCGTTCTCTCGCTCTCTAAAATAAGTAAATTGTTTAAAAAAGAAAACTACTGTTTACTATGCAACAATGACATTAAGGACCCATCTGAGTCCCCTTTGCTATTATTAGAACACAGTAAGCTAGTGCAGAGAGGTGCCCAGGATACCATGTCTCTTACTGTGTATCTATGAGAATGGCTGGAATCTTACTTTATGTTTGAGGCCATAGTTGACTTCCAGTTCCATAAGCAGCACACTTTTGCGCACGTTCAGAGTCTTCTGGAGCTCGTCAAAGGTAGAATGGATGTCATCCACAATGCTGGTCTTTTGGTTGGTTAACTGATGAATGATTTCTGAGATGAACTGAAGGGCAGAATCTATTTCTGGGAGCCTGGAGGACAGTCATTAAAGATCATTATTTAACATCAACCCAGAAACAGAGAAACATCTATCTAAACACTATGTTTTGTCAAAAAACATTTTCTTTGCCTTTCATCATCTTCAAAAAAGTAATAGCGGAAGAACAGAATAAATAAGACGTGACATAATTAACTGCTTTTGAGAGAATAGACTTTGAGGGTCCACGTCTACTTCATCTAATCAATCATCTAATTTTAATAATTGATGGTACAAAGTCTTGAGGCTCTCTAAACACCATGGCTTCTCCTCATTCTGAAGCAAGACTTCTCCAACTTGACACTATAACATTGTAGGCCACATGCTTCTTTGTTGCAGGGGACTATCCTGTGTGTTATAAGATGTTTAACAGCATCCTGTCTTCTGCCAGATGCCAACAGCACCCCCACACGCAATTGTGACACCAAACTGTCTCCAGGTCATTGCCAAATGCCTCCAAGGGATAACTGCCCACAATCGAGAACCATTGTTCTAAATATATAGCTGTATCTTTTCACCTAATCATATGAAAAACTTATCCAGACTCTGACTTCCCTCAGAGAAGGAACATTTGCAAGTTTCCAAGTTCCTTTAATTATTATAGAATAACCATACTTTTCTCACTACCAGCTGTTGGTGATGAGGATTTTCAGTTGGTTATTTACTTCCTTTCTCTGGTCTTTCTCATGTATCGCACAACTACCCTTTCCCCTCATTTCCATGCCAAAGAGTAAGGCTAGAAGCAGGGAAACATAAGGAAAATTGAACAATCACTGCTTGGTACTATTTTGCTGGGCTCAAACAGAGACAAGCTGGTGACAGTCAACACAATGGTCCAGTATACCAGTATATGTCAGAAAGAGCAACTAAGAAAAACTCAGAGAGCCTGGTCTCAGGCACGGATTTCAGGGATCTCCCGCGAGCATTTTCCCTGAAAGTATTTTATTCATTTAGTCATTAAAAGGTACTAAAACAAAAATGCCACCACTCATAACATAAGGAGGTTAGAATTTTACCAAGGGGCAGGGGATGACCCTTATCACTCACTAGTTTATGACTACAGATCCACCATCAAAGGAGAATTTATTTAGGTAGCGTGAACCTATTATCCCACTGAGGCCGGAGATCCAGAGGGCAAGCCTCATGCTCAGCCAGTCGGGAGTCCGGGGGAGGCGTGTGCACCTTTTGTTGACGGCGTCCAGCTGGACCTGGAGCGAGGCCTTGTGCTGCTCCACCACGTCCTTGAGGGGGACTGTGGGGTGTTCCGCATGCTCCCCCTCAGTGCACTCCCGACACATGGCGGTCTCGCAAGACTGGCAGTAAAAGTCCATCACCTGTGGGTAGCGCAAAAAAAGGGTCTGGTTCAATACCACTAATCGGGTGCTTACTATACGCTAGGCCTTTAGTCGGCCTTCTCATGGAATGCTCATGGCTTTCCCAGGATGTAGGCAGTATGTCCGATGTCACAGAAGTAAAGGAAGGGTAAATTGATTGTGCAGGTCTCAAACAGAGGTGGACCAGACTCCAAAGCTGCTGCTGTCCTCACAAAACCAGCTCTTCCGTGGCTATTACCTAAGAGCTGAACAGCGTGGGACTGTGATGCTCAAACTCTGTGATCTTAGGACACTTTCCCACTCTCTATAAATGCCTGAGGACTCCAAAGTGCTTTTATGTATGTGAATTGTATCTATAGATATTTATCTGAAAAACTGAAACAAAACTTTTAAATATTTATTAATTTATTAAAAGCAGTAATAAGCCCACTAAATGTTAACATGAACAATACAATTCATGAACGATAACTCTATTTGGCAAAACAAAAAAATGTTGTGAGAAGAGTGGTATTGTTTCCCACTTGCAACATTTCCTTCAGTGTCTGGCTTAATAGAAGACAACTGGATTCTCATATCTGCTTCTGCAATTCTGCTGTTGTGACAGCACAGATCATATTGTCTCTGGAAAATTGCACTGTACACTCCTGAGAGAATGAGAGTGAAAAAGGCGTATAATGCCTTAGTATTATTATAAATACAGTTTTGATCTGTGGACTTGCCCTCCCCACAAAGGATCTTGGGTCCCAAAGGGTTCCTGAACCATACTTTGAGAACTGATACTCTTTCTCTAAGAGATAAGCTGTATGGAGCAATTTGTACTCTGGCTCTACCACTTAGGTAACTTCACTGTGTCTCAAGTTTTCCTCTGTCAAATAAAGACAATAATAGTAACCTACTTCCTAGGGCTCCTTTGAGAATTCAGTAGGTTAATATGCACGAAGAAGTAGATGATGCTTGGTACTGGCATGATGAAGCAGCAGCAAATGATATGATGATGATGATGATGAAGATGATGGTATCATCTGCTTCCATGAAAATAAAGCCACTTATCCTGATTATGACAAACTCTCAGTAACAATATAACATAAAGCCTTTCAAAAGTCAGTTTCCGGGTGAAGGCATTCCCCTATTCTCTCAGCTGAAAATAACTTCTTCCAATTTTGAATTCCCGAAGTGCTTCTTGGAGGGGACTTTTTCTTAAAGTATAAGACACATATAGAAAAGGGCAAAAGTCTTCCTAAAGATTGGTGGATTTTCACAAAGTGAAAGTTCCCACCAAAGCAACTTTATTTATACCCCATTTTATGAACTATTTATAAGATATTAAGTTCCTGAACACAGGAAGTCTCTTACCCAGAGCCTAAGTAATTGCTTGCACAAAGTAAGTATTCAAAAATTGCTCTTTGAATGAACTGTATGCTGTCTATAAGAGTCTCGTTTTAGAGTCAAAGACACAAATAGATTGAAATTAAAAGGGTGAAAAAATATTCCATGCAAAGAGTAATCAGAGGAGAGCAGGAGTGGGGTGCCTGGGTGGTTCAGTTAAGCGCGGGATGCTTGATTTCAGCTCAAGTCATGAACTCAGGGTTGTGAGATGGAGTCCTGGGTCTGCGAGCTCCACCCTAGGTGTGGAGGCTGCTGAGGATTCTCAATCTCTTTCTCTCCTTCTGCCTCTCCCTGCTTCCCCCTCCCCCAAAAAGAAACAGAAAGAGAGAGGGAACTGGAGTGGCTATTCTAATATCAGACAAAATAAACTTTAAGACAAAAGCTGTTACAACAGATAAAGAAGGACATTATATTATGATTAGATGATAAATTTATCAAGAAGATATGACAATTACAAGCAAATGTGTACCCAACAACAGAGCCCCAAAATATATGAAGTAAAATCGGACAGAACTGAAGGGAGAAATGAATAGGCCAAAAATAGCTGGAGATTTCAATACCCCACTTTCATTAATGATCTAACACATAGACAGAAGATCAATAAAGCAACTAAAGCAACTAGACCTAACAGCCATCTATAGAACACTCTATTCAATAATAGAATACACATTTTTGTCAAGTACACATGAAAAGTTCTCCAGATTAGACCATATATTAGGTCACAAAAGTCTTGATAAATTTAAAAAGATTAAAATCACACAGGTATCTTCTCTGGCCACAATGGAATTAAATTAGAAATCTGTAACAGAAGGAAACCTGGAAGATTAAATAAATTACTCTTGAACAATGAGTCAGAGAAGAAATCACAAGGGAAATTAGAATATACTTTGAGATGAGTAAAAATGAAAACCCAATATACTGAAACTTATGAGACAGCACTCAGAGCAAAATGTTAGTTATAAATGCCTACTTTAAAAAAAAGAAAGATCTCAAATCAATAAATCTAAATTTCAACCTTAAAGAACTAGAAAAGAAGAACATATTAAAACGAAAGCAAGAAGGGGGGCCTGGGTGGCTCAGTGGGTTAAAGCCTCTGCCTTAGGCTCAGGTCATGATCCCAGGGTCCTGGGATCGAGCCCCACATTGGGCTCTCTGCTCTGCAGAGAGCCTGCTTCCTCATCTCTCTCTGCCTGCCTCTCTGCCTATTTGTGATCTCTGTCTGTCAAATAAATAAATAAAATCTTAAAAAAAAAATCTTAAAAAAAACCCAAAAAACCAAATCAAGAAGAAGAAAGAAAATAATAAAGATGAAAGTGGAGATAAACAAAACAGAAAATGGAAATACAATAGAGAGAATCAATGAAACCAAAAGTTGGTTCTTTGTGAGGATCAACAACATTGACAAACAGGATACTAGGGACAGTTGTATGCCAACGAATTGAATAATATCGATAATATGGATAAATTCTTAGAAACACACAAACTACCAAAACTGACCCAAAGAAGAAATAGAAAACCTGAACAGACCTATAATCAGATATTGAATCAGTATTCAGAAAACTTCCAACAAAGAAAAGTCCAGGACCAGATGGCTTCACTGATGAATTCTACCAAACATTTAAAGAAGAATTAATACCAATCCTTCCAAACTCTTCAAAAAATAGAAGATGAGAGAACATACCCTAACTTATTCTATTAGGCCAACAACCCCAACACCAAAGCGAAAGACATCACAAGAAAAGTTCATATCCCTTATGAATATAGAGGCAAAAATCCTTAACAAAATACCAGTAAACTGAATCAAGCTGTATATTAAAAGGATTATACAGTATGAACAAGTGGAGTTTAAGCCAGGACTGCAAAAGTGGTTCACATAAAAAAATTAGTATATGTAATACACCACACTAATAGAATAAAGTTGGGGGAACCCACATGGTCATCTCAATTGATGCAGAAAAAAAAAAATTGACAGTATCTAATACCATTTCATGATAAAAACACTTATCAAACTAGAAATAGAAGAATACTTCCTCAACTTGATAAGAGGTTTCTACAAAAATCCTACAACTAACATCATACCTTATGGTGATCCCCTAAGATAAAAGAACAAGACAAGGATGACCACTCTTGCCATTTCTACTCAGCAATGTACTGAAAGTTTGAGCCAGGGCATTTAGGCAAGTAAAAGCAATAAAATGCATACACTTTGGAAAGAAAGAAGTAAGAATTTCTCTATTCCGAGATGATATGATCTTATATATAGAAAGCCCTAAAGAATACACCATCCACCGAGGCCTCCCTCCCCAACAAAACTATTAGGACTAACACATGAATTCAGCAAAGCTGTAGGATATAAGATCAACAAACAAAAATCAGTTGTATTTCTAAATACTTTGCAATGAACAATCCAAAAATGAAATCAAGAAAATAATTCCATTTAGGGGTGCCTGGGTGGCTCAGTGGGTTAAAGCCTCTGCCTTTGGCTCGGATCATGATCCCAGGGTCCTGGGATCAAGCCCCGCATCAGGCTCTCTGCTCAGTGGGGAGCCTGCTTCCCTCTCTCTCTGCCTGCCTCTCTGCCTACTTGTGATCTCTCTCTCTCTCTGTCAAATAAATAAATTAAAAAAATAAAATAAAGAAAATAATTCCATTTATACTAGCATCAAAGGAATAGAAAATATTTAAGAATAAATTTAACCAAGAAGGTTTAAGACTTGTACACTGAAAACTACAAAACATTGTTGAAAGAATGAAAGAATACCTAAATAATGGAAATTAATGTAAAAATAATTCATGCTCATGAACTCGAAGACTTAAAATTGTTAAGAGGGCAACATGCCCAAAATTGATCTATTGATTTAGTGAAATATCTATCAAAATTCAAGCATCCCTCTTCACAGAAGTGAACAAGCTATTCCTAAAATTCAGATGGAATTAAATGGGACCCTGAACAGCCAAAACAATCTTGGGGAAAAAAAATTGGAATATTCAGACTTCCCAATTTCAAAACTTAGTGCCAACCTAGAATAATCAAAATACTAGGTTACTGACATAAGGCTAGACATATTGAACAATGGAGTAGAACTGTGAGTCCAGAAATAAAACCATATGTTTGTGGTCAACTGATTCTTTTTTTTTTTTTTAAAGATTTTATTTATTTATTTGACAGACAGAGATCACAAATAGGCAGAGAGGCAGGCAGAGAGAGATGAGGAAGCAGACCCCCTGCCGAGCAGAGAGCCTGATGTGGGGCTTGATCCCAGAACCCTAGGATCATGACCCGAGCTGAAGGCAGAGGCTTTAACCCACTGAGCCACCCAGGCGCCCCTGGTCAACTGATTCTTGACAAGGGTGCCAAGACCACACGATGGAGGAAAAAAATAGCCTTTTCCGCAAATGATGCCAAGACCACTGGATATCCACATGTAAAAGAATGAAGTGGTACTTTTACTTTGCTCTATCTACAAAAATTACCTCAAAATAGATTAATGGCCTAAACATATAAGCTAAAACTATAAAACTCCTAGAAAAAAAATAGGAGTAAATCTTTATGACTTATGATTTCACAGTGGTTTCCTAGATAGGACACCAACAGCATAAGTAACAACAACAAA